GATGTTAAGTAAATATATATACGATGTTAAGTAAAGATATATACGATGTTAAGTAAAGATATATACGATGTTAAGTAAATATATATACGATGTTAAGTAAATATATATACGATGTTAAGTAAAGATATATACGATGTTAAGTAAAGATATATACGATGTTAAGTAAATATATATACGATGTTAAGTAAATATATATACGATGTTAAGTAAATATATATACGATGTTAAGTAAATATATATACGATGTTAAGTAAATATATATACGATGTTAAGTAAATATATATACGATGTTAAGTAAATATATATACGATGTTAAGTAAATATATATACGATGTTAAGTAAATATATATACGATGTTAAGTAAATATATATACGATGTTAAGTAAATATATATACGATGTTAAGTAAATATATATACGATGTTAAGTAAATATATATACGATGTTAAGTAAATATATATACGATGTTAAGTAAATATATATACGATGTTAAGTAAATATATATACGATGTTAAGTAAATATATATACGATGTTAAGTAAATATATATACGATGTTAAGTAAATATATATACGATGTTAAGTAAATATATATGCGATGTTAAGTAAATATATATTCGATGTTAAATGAATATACATACGATGTTAAGTAAACATATATACGATGTTAAGTAAATATATATACGATGTTAAGTAAATGGATATACGATGTTAAGTTAATGTTTATACGATGTTAAGTAAATATATATACGATGTTAAGTAAATATATATACGATGTTAAGTAAAGATATATACGATGTTAAGTAAATGGATATACGATGTTAAGTAAATATGTATACGATGTTAAGTAAATATATATACGATGTTAAGTTAATGTTTATACGATGTTAAGTAAATATATGTACGATGTTAAGTAAATAAATGTACGATGTTACAAACATAGAATTTACTTAACATCGTAACATATAACTTTATTCTGTTCATTCTGTATGAGACTATATTCTGTCCATTTGGTATGTAATATATTCTGTCCATTTTCTATGTAACTTTATTCTGTCTATTCTCTATTTAACTATATTATGTCCGTTCTCTATGTAACTTTATTCTGTCCATTCTCTGTGTAACTTTATTCTGTCCATTCTCTGTGTAACTTTATTTTGTTCATTTTCTATGTAACTTTATTCTGTCCATTCTCTATGTCACTTTATTCTGTCCATTCTCTATGCAACTTTATTCTGTCCATTCTCTTTGTACCTTTATATTGTCCATTCTCTATGTAACTTTATTCGCCCAATCTCTATTTAACTATATTCTGTCTATTCTCTATGTAACTTTATTCTGTCCATTCTCTGTGTAACTTTATTCTGTCCATTCTCTATGCAACTTTATTCTGTCCATTCTCTTTGTCCCTTTATATTGTCCATTCTCTATGTAACTTTATCCGCCCAATCTCTATTTAACTATATTCTGTCTATTCTCTATGTATCTTTATTCTGTCCATTCTCTATGTAACTTTCCATTCTCTATGTAACTTTATTCTGTCAATTCTCTATGTAACTTTATTCTGTCCGTTCTCTATGTAACTATATTCTGTCCATTATCTGTGTAACTATATTCTGTCCATTCTCTATGTAACTTTATTCTGTCTATTCTCTGTGTAACTTTATTCTGTCTATTATCTGTGTAACTTTATTCTGTCCATTATCTGTATTACTTTATTCTGTTCATTCTCTATGTAACTTTATTCTGTCCATTCTCTATGTCACTTTATTCTGTCCATTCTCTATTCAACTTTATTCTGTCCATTCTCTTTGTGCCTTTATATTGTCCATTCTCTATGTAACTTTATTCGTCCAATCTCTATTTAACTATATTCTGTCTATTCTCTATGTAACTTTATTCTGTCCATTCTCTATGTAACTTTATTCTGTCCATTCTCTATGTAACTTTATTCTGTCCATTCTCTATGTAACTTTATTCTGTCCGTTCTCTATGTAACTTTATTCTGTCCATTCTCTATGTAACTTTATTCTGTCCATTCTCTATGTAACTTTATTCTGTCCATTCTCTATGTAACTTTATTCTGTCCATTCTCTATGTAACTTTATTCTGTCCATTCTCTATGTAACTTTATTCTGTCCATTCTCTATGTAACTTTATTCTGTCCATTCTCTATGTAACTTTATTCTGTCCATTCTCTATGTAACTTTATTCTGTCCATTCTCTATGTAACTTTATTCTGTCCATTCTCTATGTAACTTTATTCTGTCCATTCTCTATGTAACTTTATTCTGTCCATTCTCTATGTAACTTTATTCTGTCCATTCTCTATGTAACTTTATTCTGTCCATTCTCTATGTAACTTTATTCTGTCCATTCTCTATGTAACTTTATTCTGTCCATTCTCTATGTAACTTTATTCTGTCCATTCTCTATGTAACTTTATTCTGTCCATTCTCTATGTAACTTTATTCTGTCCATTCTCTATGTAACTTTATTCTGTCCATTCTCTATGTAACTTTATTCTGTCCATTCTCTATGTAACTTTATTCTGTCCATTCTCTATGTAACTTTATTCTGTCCATTCTCTATGTAACTTTATTCTGTCCATTCTCTATGTAACTTTATTCTGTCCATTCTCTATGTAACTTTATTCTGTCCATTCTCTATGTAACTTTATTCTGTCCATTCTCTATGTAACTTTATTCTGTCCATTCTCTATGTAACTTTATTCTGTCCATTCTCTATGTAACTTTATTCTGTCCATTCTCTATGTAACTTTATTCTGTCCATTCTCTATGTAACTTTATTCTGTCCATTCTCTATGTAACTTTATTCTGTCCATTCTCTATGTAACTTTATTCTGTCCATTCTCTATGTAACTTTATTCTGTCCATTCTCTATGTAACTTTATTCTGTCCATTCTCTATGTAACTTTATTCTGTCCATTCTCTATGTAACTTTATTCTGTCCATTCTCTATGTAACTTTATTCTGTCCATTCTCTATGTAACTTTATTCTGTCCATTCTCTATGTAACTTTATTCTGTCCATTCTCTATGTAACTTTATTCTGTCCATTCTCTATGTAACTTTATTCTGTCCATTCTCTATGTAACTTTATTCTGTCCATTCTCTATGTAACTTTATTCTGTCCATTCTCTATGTAACTTTATTCTGTCCATTCTCTATGTAACTTTATTCTGTCCATTCTCTATGTAACTTTATTCTGTCCATTCTCTATGTAACTTTATTCTGTCCATTCTCTATGTAACTTTATTCTGTCCATTCTCTATGTAACTTTATTCTGTCCATTCTCTATGTAACTTTATTCTGTCCATTCTCTATGTAACTTTATTCTGTCCATTCTCTATGTAACTTTATTCTGTCCATTCTCTATGTAACTTTATTCTGTCCATTCTCTATGTAACTTTATTCTGTCCATTCTCTATGTAACTTTATTCTGTCCATTCTCTATGTAACTTTATTCTGTCCAATCTCTATGTAACTTTATTCTGTCCATTCTCTATGTAACTTTATTCTGTCCGTTCTCTTTGTATCTTTATTCTGTCCATTCTCTATGTAACTATATTCTGTCCATTATCTAAGTAACTATATTCTGTCCATTCTCTATGTAACTATATTCTGTCTATTCTCTATGTAACTATATTCTGTCCATTCTCGTTTTAACTTTATTCTGTCCATTATCTAAGTAACTTTATTCTGTCCATTCTCTATGTTACTTTATTCTGTCCATTCTCTATATAACTATATTCTGTCCATTCTCTTTGTAACTATATTCTGTCCATTCTCTATGTAACTTTATTCTGTCCATTCTCTATGTAACTTTATTCTGTCCATTCTCTCTGTCCGTTCTCTATGTAACTTTATTCTGTTCATTATGCATTGCATTATTGCAGTGTCTGCCACTGTATTTGTGTATTGTTTAAGGCTACTGGTGTTTAATAACATCATTATTATTATTATTGTTTTATTTTTATTGATGAACTGAAAAGCTTAAAGTCAATAAATGAAATAAATGAATTGAATAAGGTAATCAAACATTGACTGTTGATGTTTTGGTACGATATAGAGATACTGAGAAACATCGTTCTTCACTCATATATTTTATTATTTTGCAACTGCTTTACACATTCTACAACTAAATTATTACTGTTTTGTTTTGGCACTTTTGGTAAAGATGATCGTTGTTTGATTATAGCACTAAACTGAAATCCGCATCCTTTTTTTCTTAAATATTTAAATTTACTGAATATGTTAACAGATCCACCGGCCAATTTAAGTTGGCTTCACACTTTCGCAATAAACCAGCAAAATTCGTTGAACTTGCATATAATGGTTATGCAACTATGTAGAGCTAATCGGAGACGTCTCCTGGCGTGTTATATACAAGGTTGGGATAGGAAGTGGAGGTACAAACGAGGCGCCTCTAGATTCGATCTATTTCGCTCTGCCAATTAAACATGAGCATAGTCAAAACAACTCACGATATTGTACAAAATAAAAAGTAACACTGTACACATGCAGTGTGTTTTATGTTATGCAATATTATAGCGTATAAAATACGTCGGTAAAGGACAACATGGAAAAAGATAAATGTGTTATTGTGAAATAATAAAGTGTATTACAGTAATAAAATCTAACATTAAGCAGAATGGTAGCGTATTATATTTCCATGATAAGATATAAGTTACTACGATATAAGTCATAAAGTACTACACTGTACAATGAAATAGCAATCACTGCCTTTTGATTTAAATGTCGTTTAATTAAATCTTGAATGATTTTCGTAAACGTACAATGCCATATACAGTATCAAATTGAAAAACACCAACGTGATTGCCTTTCCCTTAAAATTTATACATCCTTTGTTGTTGACGTTCGTTGCACTTCTTACAGAAAACAGATATCAAATGTTTTTTCTCTCTGGGATTATGTGATCCTGATAATTCCAAATATTTATAAATGAACTCTGTTAGAATTATCAATCAAAATTGTTGTCAATAGTCCCACAGGCCGACCCCTTCACAGTATCTCTTATTTGCGTCGTCAACGTGATAAAATCATCAGCAATAAATACGTAGGAGGTGTTGTAAGCGATTTCATCTAACTGATCCTTATAAATCCCGCGTCCTATTCCTACAGAGATCACCAGGACGCCATCATTCCTGAGTGTGCTGGCGATTGTTGTGGAACTATCGGCGGACACTCCATCAGTCATCAGAATTATAATCTTTTCCGAGTCAGCTCTTGCTCCATTCGCAGCGGTAAGTGTATTATCCCTAACGAACTGCAAGGCTCTTGATATGTATGTCCCTCCACCGGTGTATACGATTGAATCTATAGCATCACGGAGATCATATACTCCATGATGTTCATTGAGCCAAAATTCATTATTAGGATATGTCGAAAATTTTGCAATACTGATTTGAATGCCGTTTGGATCTAACAGAATGTTTCCTGTAATGTTGAGTATGAAAACTTTCATTAATACGAAATTACTTCGTCCGACACTTCCAGAGGCGTCCAGGAGGATTACAATGTCAGTCTTCGTATTGCTGCATTCTGGAAAACAACATTCATATATAGAATACCTGCTTTACAATAAAGTTTTTAAATGAAAGTTAAAAAACAATACCTCTTATGTATATACCAGAACATCTATAACTATAGAGATGTAACTTGCTACAATTATTTATGAAGTAAACGAATACGAAAGGTAAATAAAAAGGAACACCGTACACCGAGTGTTGTTCTATGCGTGGTATTCATTATGAGGTATTATATCGGTATTATGTTCAGGAATTTACAAACATCTTTTGTTGTGATAGTTACCAGAACATATTTATACAGAAAAGACAATCATAGAACATGGTTAATAGCAGCTAATCAACTATGACATTCAGTTCAGAACAAATTTAATAACTACACCATTCAGCTTGTAAAAAACATAAATAATCACCAACTTGTGTAAGGTGTAATTATATTGTGCTTCCGTCAAAATGTTAATTGTCGTATATATAACCATGTAAAACACGCGCTGGTGCATTGAAATAAAAATGGGTAATGTTTGAAGCTTCCATGAAAAAAATAATTTCATATATGACTTTGCAATGTGGAGAACATTACCTAAATAGGTTATGCTGAAACAGCCATACTCAAGTTTTAGCTAACAGATAAGTGTGTAAAAGATATGTTACATGCTAGATCAATGATAATAAATACTATAACTGAAACTGAAAGTAGATTAGGTAATGTTTCTCATTTGCATTCATCACAAGTCGAATAATGGACAAGCTACAACTTACAATTTGATACGGTTGAAGATACTAGCGAATACTGTTTAAATATTTCCATTTGTGTTGCAGTGCCTCTAGGTAAAAGTACCAACTAAAAATGTTGTTATGATTCCATAAAAGCAAGTGTGTAGTAATATGAACAGTACTACCTGTATTGCTATATGACCTCTGACCTCACTATGTAACCTCCCCCACCAGAAAACACCCGAAATGTTTGTTTTATCTAGTTTAAAAATATATATATAAATAATATGTATGAACAACGCAGACGTAATCAAACGTGATGCTACGGAAGCTGAATTCATCAGACTTATTAGACCCCGCTTGAACAGTGCTGTTTGAATATATTTTATAATGTTCTTACTTCACATATCGTTTAAGGTAGAGAGTACTTCTGTATTTGAAAGGATGTGCAGACACGTTTTTTCTTTGTCTACAGATGAGTTATAGTTGTAAATTTGCATTTGTGTATTCGATTCAATGTAGAGACATCGGTAGTGTGTTGGATCAGTAATGTGATGGTCCCGAGTTCGCTCCGCACAGAGATAAAAAAAATCCTCTAAATAATAGTATTAATAGTAATTCTAATTCCTAACAAATAGTACTCTTTACCTTAAGACCATAATTATGTATTTCTATTGCTGTGATATCGCTATGGCGGGTGCGCATATAGCGAACAATTATGTGACGTCATAGTTTATGACGTCACAATATCTACTTCGAATAAACAGTCTGAAGAATCTCCTTGTCGAGATGAAAGTATTAAAGACTCGTTGTTGAGATTTTTTTCTTTTTATATTATATATATATATATATTTATTTAATCTGTGTTAACAGAACTGATCAATGACAACAAGAAATCACACTATTCAATTACTAGGGAACTGAAAAAGATTACACGGCAGGTGATGAATGAATGTGGTTTTGAATCAGGGCACATCATGTTTATGTCGGGCCACTATAGTGAGTCTGCTATAAGATTCTATAACAGGGCCTTTTCAACAGAACAGAAAAACCCACTGTCCTCTACACTAGCGTCCGTTGCAAACTTGGCGAAGCAGGTCAAACTATCCCGTCAAGTCGGCCAGTCCCCTCACTCCTCAGCGAAAGTAACACATGCTGAATGCTCCAACAATGGCTGAATAAGCTAGTCCCATTGGCGCAGTCGGTCGACACAATAATTCAGTCAACAGTGTCTTTTAAATCGTCATCTGGTTTCATAGGGTACTCCACATTTCACGGATGCACTTTCAATGTTCGTTCACCCATCTCGGTGGCATTCCAACCGCATCGCTTAGACGCTGCACAACCGTTGTTTATCGGTCAGCTACCATCGCAAACACGGACTGACTCCTTGTAACTAAAGTATCTCACAGGGTATTTTTGTTTCGAATTAAGATCAACCGTCAATTTTTAAGATAATCAATGCATGTCAAACATGCTGGTAGATAAATCAAATGATTTAAAATAAGCAAATTGGAACTATTTGTTTATTGCGCAACTGTGTATTTCGTCACCATTGACAACGCATCATCCTTCCTGCGAAAAAGGCTGTTCAATTAATGTTGTTTTCAGGACGGTGTTTTGTTTTTTTACGTGAAAAAAACACATCATTTCCTTAAATAATGAAAGTGAGTGTAACAGAACGTAAATATAAGGTTTGAAATGCATCTTTTTTTTTTACATTTATGAGGGTATGCAACACAGTTCCGTTCAAACATGTTCTCCAAGATGCGCTATGCGCACCATGGAATATGTTTAAATGTGACTGTGTTGCATACCATTATAACTGTTAAAAATGTGCATTTCAAACCTTTAATAATCTCTATACAGTGTATGTAGTTGGTCTTCATGTTTAAAACAGACAAAAAATGTTATCAAAACTGTACTCAAACATACAGCGAAATGCTTGTGTTCCTGCTAGACTCTTTTAAACATATCAAGTTGATTTACTATGACTTTGTTGATTTATTATGATTTTAATGATTTACTATGACTTTGCTGATGTACTATGACTTTGTTGATGTACTATGACTTTGTTGATTTACTATGACATTGTTGATGTTCTATGACATTGTTGATTTACTATGACTTTGTTGATATACTATGACTTTGTTGATTTACTATGATTTTGTTGATGTACTATGACTTTGTTGATGTTCTATGACTTTGTTGATGTACTATGACTTTGTTGATTTACTATGACATTGTTGATGTATTATGATTTTGTTGATGTACTATGACTTTGTTGATTTACTATGACTTTGTTGATTTACTATGACATTGTTGATGTACTATGATTTTGTTGATGTACTATGTCTTTGTTGATGTACTATGACATTGCTGATGTACTATGACATTGTTGATGTACTATGATGTATTATGACATTGTTGATGTTCTATGACTTTGCTGATGTTCATGACTTTGTTGATGTACTATGACTTTGTTGATATACTATGACTTTGTTGATGTACATGAATTTGTTGATGTTCTATGACTTTGTTGATGTACTATGATGTATTATGACATTGTTGATGTTCTATGACTTTGCTGATGTTCTATGACTTTGTTGATGTACTATGACTTTGTTGATTTACTATGCTTTGTTGATGTACTATGACTTTGTTGATGTTCTATGACTTTGTTGATGTACTATGACTTTGTTGATTTACTATGACTTTGTTGATGTACTATGACTGTGTTGATGTACTATGATTTTGTTGATGTACTATGATTTTGTTGATTTACTATGACTTTGTTGATGTACAGTTGTGTAACCGCACAACGCTCCAAAAATAGCGTGCGCACACCGTGCATACATCGTTCACACACCGTCCGCACATCGTCCACACATGGTGCGCACAACTGTACGATTTAACAATCGTTCGCCCCCTTGTGCGCTTCTCTCCGCACAACTGTGCGATTAGGTACAATTTGTTGATCAATATTACGAAATGAAATAAATACGGAAGGATGTACATGTACAGCTGTATATATTACTGTGATTTCTCATCACAATAATTAAGATTATGTACAAGTTTACAATGCGTGTTACACAATATTCCAATGACCGTTAGACTGTCAAGAATGGGTTTGGCTCCTAGATAACAGAACAGGTAAATGACATTCTGATGAGTGGACGGAGTTTTACCTGGCCTGTGCCTGACACCTATAGCTGATGTGTGATGAAGTATGACCGTTATGAAAACACAACTGGACAATTAGTATTTGTTAATTGCATTCGGTTTGGCTTAAAGATCCCCTTCACCTGGATTAACACCCCGGTGAGTTACGTGCATCGTGTAAGGTCCCGGGGCGGAGACAAGTACGGTCCAGGTTCATGTACAAAGTAGCTACATGGTATGTTTACCTGTATACGGGAACTGTGTTATAATTTTACATGTCGATTAAGGTCGTTCAAAAAACACCGAAAACACAATTTCTAAATTCAGGGAAGCATAGACATAAAATTTAAAGATAAGCTTATAGATGCAGCTTGTATATATAAACACACTTAAAAATCAAGTGTATATGTTTAAACACGAAACCGTATATATTGTTAAGGCGTTCCTCAATTTACACCAACCACGATTGTTATCGCCCAACGTTCGTCCATTGCGCGCACAAATGTGCGTATGCAATGATCGTCCAATTTTTCAACGTTCGCATATCGTGCACACATCGTTCATACACCGTGCACACACCGTGCGCTCTCCGCACATCGTGTAACGTTGTGCGATCCCACAACTGTACTATGACTTTGTTGATGTACTATGACTATGTTGATGTACTATGACATTGTTGATTTACTATGACTTTGTTGATGTACTATGACATTGTTGATTTACTATGACTTTGTTGATTTACTATGACATTGTTGATGTACTACATCATGTATAACTTTGTTGGTGTACTATGACTTTGTTGATGAACTATGACTTTGTTGATTTACTATGACTTTATTGATTTACAATATTTTTGTTGATTTTCTATGACTTTGTTGATGTACTATGACATTGTTGATGTACTATGACCTTGTTGATGTACTATGACATTGTTGATGTACTATGACATTGTTTATGTACTATGACTTTGTTGATGTACTATGACATTGTTGATGTACTATAACTTTGTTGGTGTACTATGACTTTGTTGATGTACTATGATTTTGTTGATGTACTATGACATTGTTGATGTACTATGACTTTGTTGATGTACTATGACATTGTTGATTTACTATAACTTTGTTGGTGTACTATGACTTTGTTGATGTACTATGATTTTGTTGATGTACTATGACATTGTTAATGTACTATGACTTTATTGATGTACTATGACTTTGTTGATTTACTATGACATTGTTTATGTACTATGACTTTGTTGATGCACTATGAAATTGTTGATGTACTATGACTTTGTTGATGTACTATGACATTGTTGATGTATTATGACTTTGTTGATGTACTATGACTTTGTTGATTTACTATGACTTTGTTGATGTACTATGACATTGTTGATGTATTATGACTTTGTTGATGTACTATGACTTTGTTGATGTACTATGACATTGTTGATTTACTATGACATTGTTTATGTACTATGACTTTGTTGATGTACTATGACATTGTTGATGTACTATAACTTTGTTGGTGTACTATGATTTTGTTGATGTACTATGATTTTGTTGATGTACTATGACATTGTTGATTTACTATAACTTTGTTGATGTACTATGATTTTGTCGATGTACTATGACATTGTTAATGTACTATGACTTTGTTGATGTACTATGACTTTGTTGATTTACTATGACTTGTTTATGTACTATGACTTTGTTGATGCACTATGAAATTGTTGATGTACTATGTCTTTGTTGATGTACTATGACTTTGTTGATGTACTATGACTTTGTTGGGATACTATGACATTGTTGATGTACTATGACTTTGTTGATGTACTATGACTTTGTTGATTTACTATGACTTTGTTGATGTACTATGACATTGTTGATGTACTATGACTTTGTTGATGTACTATGACTTTGTTGATGTACTATGACTTTGTTGTGATGTACTATGACTTTGTTGATGTACAATGACTTTGTTGATTTACTATGACTTTGTTAATGTACTATGACTTTGTTGATATACTATGACTTTCTGTGGAGAAATGGTTACTTAGCGCAATGAAAGCACAAGTTCAAGAAAAGGTCATAGCATTTCATCTTTTAACACAGTTTTAACCATTTGAAAACAAAAAATGCCACATACAAACGTATTATATCATAATTCAACTGCGTTATCAGACATTCAAGCTAAATCTTTAATGATAAAAGTATATAACCCTTAGCCTTTTTGTAATAGTCAACCACATGCAAAACATATGGTGCTGTTCAGCGATATTTAACAACTTAACGTGAATAGAACTTTTCTTGCAGTTGTTGAATACGAGTTTTTATGATAGTAATAAAATGCAACAGGAGAAATCCACCTGAATTAGATAGGCCATGCTTAGCTCTTTTACAATTAAATCCAGCACGAAATAAGGGGAACGTATGGAAGTATGAAAAACTACAATGGGAAATAGGTTTTATTACAAAATATTGGGTGACAGAAAAAAAAAAAAAAATTAAAATAATCGTTATTGTCCGTTTTTTAAATTTAAACACATATATCAAATTATTCCACAATGTAACATGTGCAATGCTAAGTTGTTTTCCGCAAATATAAATTAAGGGAGCCTTCGTTATTGTTTTCACAAAGCAAAAACGTCCTTGATAAATTTGTCTTCTACCTTCTTCATCACCCCAGTTATAGGTGCAAAGCAAATACTGTGTTTTAATATAAGCTTAAAGCAAAGCAGAACTTCATACAATAGATAATAAACATAATGTTTAAATTTGAATCAAGAAAACACTCAATCTAAGACGATATGACCTAAAACGCAAGACAAAATACTTGTATATGTATATATATACTTATTCATGTTTTTTTCTTTCTATTTTTCCAATTAAGATAGCATTACTTACCATACCCGTCGCCAGGATCTAAAGACAAAGAAAGAAACAGATTCGTTGAAAAACATATCGTTTGTGTTTGTTAAAAATGCTAAGCCTGAAAAAGAGCCTACTTTGTTTTAATCTGACACATAGGTTTATTTAGAGATTTACATTACAGATGATTGAAACTCAAAATATTAACTTTACATCAAAGATATTTTTGTTTTGGCTCTGTCATTTGTCTTTCAAACATAAGGTATACATTTAATGAGTATATACACTTTATAGCCAAAATTCATTTGAAATATTCTTTCATGAAAAGGGGTGAATTCATAAAGGGATATCCATGAGATATATCAAAAAATTATTTAAATAATAGAAAAGGGAAAAACTAAAATACTTTCAATGATATGGCAAATTAAATGAATGACGTTATATTATATCAAGGTTTTAGGTTTATCTCAATTTTTCCCAAAATGAAAAAGACTTAAGTGTGACTTATACTGTTAACTTACATGAACATTTTCTGTGTATGACTAGTCAAAAATCGGCACACGGCGTAAAAATGATATTAGTGCCGAAATATTTCCTGCTTTTTCCACAGCAGCACTATTTCAAGTTCCTCGGACCTTTCGATTTCAAAGGGCAACACATAGCACCGAGATAACCGTGCTTGTTTGTTTCCAACAGTAATTGCTAAGCTTGTTTTGAACACAGAATTCGTGTAATAGCTGCAACCTTAAATGCATCAGGGTAACTGCCTGGAACTTTCTTAAGAGAATACCAGAAAGACGTTGAATCCATGAAACAACAAGTCTACACTAGAAATACAAGGACTTTGGAGAGACAAAACAATAAATCAGCCAATATATACCAAGTACACATACAAAACTACTTCACGGACTGAAACACACTCTAAGACACGTGAAAGGATGATAACTTGAAAGGGAGATAAAAATGTAAGAATCCATCCAGGTTAGAAGGAAAGAAGAATCGAAGGACACAGACGAGGGGGCGGGGCACCAGCTGAAACATGTCATGTTAACAGGGGTGGAAGGGGTAAATGTGTTACTACAGTGCAATTGGGCAAAATGTCTTTATGATTTTTGACAGCTGATTTTACTGATTCGACACACTGTGGCTTAGTGAATTGTTTTCAGCTCGAGAGACCTGTCATTTGCACTCTTTGCTTACCAAAGGAAACAGACATTTCAAAAGCGCGCTAAAAAAGTTTTCAATTATGTTTGTGTTCAAAACAAACTTGACATTTATTATTCATATCAAAACGATGAATCTGATTTCGAATATTGTTACAACCTTGTATGTAGGTGTCACCATAAGATAGCCAAGGCGTCCATTAGCTTCTCTCTCATTAATGGATTAAACAAGTTTAAATATACAAAATTATCAGAAATGTCACCAATGTTTGTATTATTGTTTACTACAATGCAGTGGAATTGGTCATTTTTACTAATTTCGAAGCACTAAATGTGGCTATCATTTGATGGCAGTACATGAATCACTACTTTTATTTCTTTCAACCAGTGTAAATAAAAAGGCATTTTGAACTTTACAAATGTCAGCCATGCTCTTCAATTAAACAGAACAGAGACCGTCGTTAAATAAAAATATACTGGAAAATATTGGCACCGATACTTATAAATCAAAACCCTGTAATTGGTACGCACAACTAACCCAGTATTTGTTTATGATACGGCAGTGGTTGTTTGTTTTGTCGAATGATGTCTATATGTAACATACCAATAATAACATCTGTGACAATGTTGTTGGTGTCTAAGTCAATCAGGTCACTGCTGGTAAGATCATTGGCAACCGTAGGGAGCGTGTCGACAAATGCAGAAACGATGTCGGTCGGTGTCAGTTTTGTTGTGATGACATTGCCGGAGCTATCGGTGAGAACCACTTGGGTAACTATATGCATCACGAAAGTGACATAGACACCCTCCTTCTTCCTGAAAATAAATATAGATATAAACAATTAACATAAGTGTATTGATGTCTGTTTCCAACCATAAACACAAGCTATGACTATTTTATTCAACTTTATATTGAAAATAATAATAATAATTCTTTCCGTTTCTTTGACGGTGCCATTTATAACTCTCATGTTATCAAACGAAACAAGAAAATGCTGCAAAGCTCCAGGACACCAAACCTTTTTTTATGAAAGGAACGGATCATTCATGCTTGCATCTATTAACTTATAATTATATATTTACATTCTGTATGCTTAGACCCATTGACAAAAATTACATTCATAAATGCATAACACAGCTGTTCATAGAATCTCAGCACGTGGGAACTGATAGTAACCTGATCACACTGCGTAGTAGTACACTACAAAAACTACTCACTCGGAACGACCGAACTAGATGCTTAATTCTTACATCTTAAAATATTATTGAACTGTGCTTTGTGAAATATCCACGTATTCACGTGTCCTGTGCTACAAATAAACATTGAATATGGAACTACATTTTGTTGTGTTATTGTTGTTGACGGTTGCTAAGATCTCTCACGATAGTGTCACATTTCCCCGCGAAAAAACACTGTTCTCGCCACTGCGTTGCACCCGTGTATAAGCAGGAACAAACCCTGTTTATTTGTTTTATTCGTTGTTATATCGATCCACTGAAAGGATTCGTCAATGTAAATATAAGGAATGATATTTATTTTTTCAACATTTATGAGGTCATAACAACAATGGGTTTTTGGACATATTTTACATGAATCGCTAACGCGATTCATTCAATATGTCCATAAACCCATTGTTGTTATGACCTCATAAATGTTGAAAAAATAAAAATCATTCCTTAAATGAATTGCTATAGGCATTGATTTTGTCATTCAGAATATTCCGTTCATGCCCAATATCCTTACATTTTGCACTATTGCACTCAATAATTGTCCCACAGCACGCAGATGTACAGTTTTAACCACAGGGACCTAATCATTCGTTACAGCTATATATGGACCTAAACTAAGGTGTTCAGAGTAATTTTACATGTTTTAGGGGATTAGATCGACTTTCGGTAAAAATGACAGCCCCAATGATCTCCTAGATATGATTATTGGATGTGTCATTTTTAACTAACAAATTCATTTATTTTACAACTTGTGGTTTAAGTACATGTAAAATCCGGTTTTTGTGTAGATTTTATATTTATATTTCCAAACATTCCAATGTTATTTACAGATATTCTTTTGTATATTTTATTTACCAATTTATATCTTAAGTCTTCACAATGGCATGCTTTTAAGTTACCAAAAGCTACATTCACAGTACCAAGTGATATTGGAAAACATTTTCATAGACAGAGGCAGCACATTTGAGGTTTATAATATAATCATAAATGTAAAAATAAAATATCTGAATCACCTTTATTGTTTGTTGCACTTTCTTTTGTTAACTTGTTCTTTATATGAGAAGTCTTAACCGAGCTAAAATTAACTAAGGGTGCCATCAAGTTTGTAAAATGTTATTCTATTGTTTGTAAATTTTATTTGAAATCCCCCACTTCAATATTTTATGATAACGACTTAATTTGATGGTGCCCTTTAAAGCTGAAAGATGATGTAAATTGACAACGTAATATGTTTAGCCTTTCAGTATTTTCAGTACTTTGCTTAATTCTAAATGTACATGGGGGGATCATATTCATGATATTTTTAGTAAAGCTTGTATTAGACTAAACATATTGAGAATGCTTAAATATAAAATCGATAGAAAATCATTGGAAACGTTATATTGTTCTTATATAAGACATGTGCTTGAGTATGGTGATATTATCTGGAATAACTGTTTCATTGGAGAATCCAGTATGGTTAAATCTGTTCAAGTTGAAGCTATGAAAACTATATCGGGGTTAAGAAGTGGGACATCTCATCGAAAACTATATCTTGAGGTAAATATGGAAACTTTAAATTTAAAACGTCATAAACATAAATTAATTTTAATGTATAAGATAATAAACCGCTTAACACCTGACTATCCTTATATTGTACCTTTTATTAATAATGTTAATAACCCATATGGATTAAGAAATACTAGAACCTTTAATGGACCTGAAGCTAGAACTCATATCTACAACTCTAGTTTCTTTCCTGATACAATGAACGTATGGAACTTATTAGATTCTTCTATAGCATCTGCTTATTCCCTTACTTCGTTCAAATATAAACTAAAAAACTATTATAATAATCAAGTAGATAATGTTTCCCTGATATTTAAACAGTGCAATCCTAGGAATCTTAATATAATACTTTTTCAAATCAGGCACAAAGCAAGTGACTTAAACTTCGATAAATTTACTGACCACCTTATTCAAGATGGCAGTTGTTCTTGTGGAGCACCGCGTGAGGATGCTGATTATTTTTTCTTTTTCTGTCCAAATTATTCTGATTTCAGACGTGATTTTGATGAAATATATATGTAGTAGGATGTATTAGTCTTAAATTACTTACATCAGGAGATAATGAGCTATCACCAGAAATTAATACTTATATATTATCTAAAGTTGAGAAATTTATTCATTTAACTGATATAATCATTTAACTCGAATATGTTTAGTATATTTTTATTTAATACTTCCCGTTATATCAATCTGCTCCGAGTATGTGTGTCTGTGTGTGTGTGTGTGCGTGTAGGTATAGAAGTATGTATGTTGCCAGTGACGCAGTACTTGTACTATAACATGGAACGTGACATCTAGATATCTACGCCACTGGTAGAAGAGTGAGCCTTGGTATTAATGTGTGTAGTTCAACATTCAGCAATATTATTAATTCAAATACATATTTTCCATATGATTGTCCATCTATATCAATAATCTCAATAAGTAATAAATTATCGATAATTTTGTAAATATACCTTATTATTCTGTGTAAATGTACAGTCTGTATTTTAGTTTTACTAATTTACCAAATGAACACATCAGATACTATTACAAGAGAGTTAAAAGAAAACATGTTTATTAAAATTCTAAAACCGGGCTTGAACGCGGTAAATTTCGAACACCTCTTATAAATTTTAAATTTACAAATTCCGTGTGTTTAATATGTTCGGATGAACTAAGTATTGCGCTTTGAAATTCATTTTTACTATCAAATTATTTTAACTTTTACTATTGAACAATGTATTCATTTGAGCATTTATAATATGCTCCGTTTCTTTTTCCATCTTTTTCATTGACGCATTTAATGCAAGTACATTCATGTAATCTTTTTAAGACGTCGCAATTTCTAGACGTCCGCATTATGTGTACTTTGTTAATGACGTCATTATTTTTGACGTCTTAAGTATGTGTACTCAATTTATAACGTCACAAATAAATTCAAATCGCCTGAAGAGCGCCAAGATGAGCAAAAGCGCTAGCCAATTATACTAGTCTTCGTGTTTTGTTTTATTTATATATATACATGTATATACATGTGTATTCAAAGCGCCTGCAGATGCACATGAAAAAACTTACTCGAGTCCAATGACTTTGCTTTTCTTGTAGTTATCCTTGATATTGCTTCTCTCGTATACATAGTCAGTCTGCAAAGATACATAAATTTAACAGCATAAATGCCTTTCTACTATCACACCTAACACGCAGGACAAGAACCACATCAACAAGAACGATATTAAAAACAATTTAAAACTAAAATATCATTAACCAAATGAAGCAAATCAAAATGCTCCAAAAGAGACGGTTTGGTTAGCCACTTGTGGTATGTACCACTTTTTATCTCCCCTTGAATTCAATTTGAGTCTGTTAAGACAAATCATTTACGCAATAAATTAGTGTTACAGTATATACTTACGTCATTTTCTATTTTCTCTGCAAAGCTCTTGAATTCAGGACTGTTTTTGTCACCATAGGCAGGGATCCATGTAGTGTTTTGCAAATGAAGCTGAGTGTTGAAATCTAGTAGAAAGTGTAATTAGTTTGTTTGATAATGAATACACAGTATACTAGTTTGCTTTAGAGTATTATCTACTGATATATCAGTTTTTAATTTAATTATCGTGCGATTGATATCATTTAGGTATCGATGTGTATTTACTAGGCTAGTGACTCTTTCAGCATTACACTTCATGTTGAAAGTAGGAAATCGTACATGAATTAACGAAATAGTTTGAATAGTGTTTAAGTATTTAATAGAAGAATGTAATAAACATAATGACATTTTTTTCGAAACACATGATTACTCATTATTACTTTTAAGACTAACAAAAATAAAGAAATTGCATTTGTAAATGTATATTACCTGCAAAGTCCACTACCATATCGATGGAAGTGGTGCTTTGGTAGGATGTTAGTTTGACATTAGTGGCGACACAGGCGAATTCTGTTCCATTCTGGACCTTCTCAGCGATGAAACCGTAATTTTTGGTTATGGATTGGTAACACATGTCATTGAAATCACCAACGGTTACTATTGGGACTTCTGTGGTCCTGATAAAGTCCGAAGTATTACCGGATCGTACATGGAGGTGGAGTTCCCCGCCTTCTGTAGCTACTCTACCAGAACAGCTCATCTCGTACCTGTCACCCTCATTAACTGTGCCGTTACCTTCAAGTGTTAAGTTGCTAGCGATATCTATGAAAAATATGGATGTTTAACATATTTGCTCTCACTTTTCATATAGTTATCGGACATACTATATTTACAATGCAGAGTGGTTAGATGGTTGTTTATCCGGGTTTAACATCCAACAAATGCTTATGTCATTTAAGGGCGTGTCTGAATGTGTATTTTGTATGTGTGCAAGTGTGCCGGAGACAGAGTATGTTGGTGTAATTGCCTCTTTGTGATAGCGCAGATCTAATTCCGATTGTATAGTGCCATCTCACTGAAATATCATGCCAGTGGCATCCAGCACAGCATTCCGCCCGGTAACATTATACTGACGACGGATGAACCAGTTGTTGTCATTCCCCTAAATGCTATCCTAAATGCTAACGTTAAGCAGGAAACAAACTGCAATTGTAAGGACTTTGGTATGTCCCGGCATGGGTACAGCTATAACTGACTACCTCACCTAGGCGAACGTTCACTATTTCAGCAAAATATAAGGTATTGGCTAGCAATGCGCTAGGAAATAAAAATCAGTTTTGAAGATAGAAATATGAACATCCCATATATTGCAATGGATGCGGCAGATTCACTTTGGTAGCTTTAATTTCGTGTCCAAAAAGTAGAAGGCAAAAAATAAAAAATAAAAATATGCAGAAGGTTCCCACATTTGTCGCGGAATTATTGAGGGAATTATATGATAGCAATCGTATGTCTATAATGTTATATCAAACACAAATGACTGTTTTCAAAGTTTAGCTACATTAACCTACCTTAGGGTAACACTGCTCTCGATACGCTTCCCAAACAAAATATGAACAAAATAAATAATGTTTTCGGAATAAAATATAACACAAATCATGAACATATGCCAGGTTAATGTTAATATACTTGATGCATAACATATCCTACATTCGGTAACGTTTTGCAAGTATACAACAATCTTTGTGATCTTACCTGTAATTATAACTGTTGCTGTATTATTGATGACGATGATTCCGTTGTCGATCAATGTACACACGTAACTCCCTCTAGCGTAACAGTGTGTCGTGGTATTAAGAAATAGCACGCTAAGTATCATATCTGGACTACTTTGTTGAAGTCTAGCTGTATAAGAACTGTTGCCCTGTTGAAAAGTTCCGTTTGAAAAGGCTGTCACGTGGATGTCATCATTGTTCACTGATACTATACTGAAGTTATCCCATCCGGACGGAGCGTACCGTACGTTACAGCTAATAGTGATCTCTTCCTCAGGTCTTGTGATAGAATCATTCATTTCCATTTCTTAAATGAAAAAATATATATATAATCATTTATGAAAAAGTTGTAGAAATTACTTATATTGACAAATCTTAATAACAATACAAAGAAAGGGAAAAGTAACACAATTTTCCCAAAAATAGTTTTGAGCTATCATTTCTTGACATACTTGCTTTAAATTAAAATTGTTAATCTGACGTGTAGCATCACTGTTTCACTGATACGTAACTAACTTGCTCACAACACTCTCTTCAACGAATAGAGATAAAGACTTACATTCCTATTCAAGAATGAGGTATTAGTTACAAAAACCTATGTCTGCCTATATTTGAACATTTACATTTTTATTTTCCAGTAATTTCAGCACACAACCGTAACATATAGTAACATTATAGTAACGATTATAGTAACATGCAGGATACTAATTGAAATTGAGCATGCTCTAGTACCAAGAGGAACATTATAGCTGGAATATCGTAAGCTATTTACCAGGTGGGAAAATGGTAGTAGTTGTAGGTTCGGGAGTGGTTGTTGTTGTTGTTTGCTCTGGAGTGGTTGTCGTTGTTTGCTCTGGAGTGGTTGTCGTCGTTGTTTGCTCTGGAGTGGTTGTCGTCGTTGTTTGCTCTGGAGTGATGGTCGTTGTTGATGGCTCTGGAGTGGTTGTCGTTGTTGTTGGCTCTGGAGTGGTTGTCAATGTTGTTGGCTCTGGAGTGGTTGTCATTGTTGTTTGCGCTTGAGTGGTTGTCGTTGTTGTTTGCTCTGGAGTGGTTGTTGTTGTTGTTTGCTCTGGAGTGGTTGTTGTTGTTGTGTGCATTGGAGTGGTTGTCGTTGTTGTTGGCTCAGTTGTGGTTGTTGTTGTTGTTGTTGTTTGCTCTGGAGTGGTTGTCGTCGTTGTTTGCTCTAAAGTGGTTGTTGTTGTTGTTTGCTCTGGAGTAGTTGTCGTTGTTGTTTGCTCTGGAGTGGTTGTCGTTGTTGTTGTCTTTGGAGTGGTTGTCATTGTTGTTTGCGCTTGAGGGGTTGTCGTTGTTGTTTGCTCTGTAGTGGTTGTTGTTTGCTCTGGAGTGGTTGTTGTTGTTGTGTGCTCTGGAGTGGTTGTTGCTGTTGTTTGCTCTGGAGTGGTTGTTGTTGTTGTTTGCTCTGGAGTGGTTGTCGTTGTTGTTGGCTCTGGAGTGGTTGTCGTTGGATTCGGAGTGGTTGTCGTTGTTGTTAGTTCAGGAGTGGTAGTTGTTGACTCTGGAGTGAATGTTGTTGTCGTGGGCTCAGATGTGGTTGTTGTAATTTGGACGCCTTGCTGCGTATAGGAAGCTGATTTGACAACTATGGATTCACTTATTACTGTAAATGACCCCAGGGTCCTCGCTGCTCCTATGAATATTGTAACCGCTTGGACATATTGATCGTCGCCAGGTATAGTGTAACTGCCAATAACGATTATCACAAAAGTGACAATGATGCTGCCATTTCTAAAAAGATAACAAATTATGTCAATTTCCATACGCATTGTCCGAATTTTGCTGTATAATTAATGTAACTGACCCGTTTTGGGATAAAAACTAACGACTAAGCAAATGATACATGTGAACTCTATTACCTTGTTATTTCGTATATTTTTAACCAATTGATTCCTCAGGTGGTACCTTAAATTTCATATTATTATACCGCTATTGAAAATCCTGTAATCTGATTGGTCGAGGTATATTGTTCATTTCAAACTGTCACAATCGAGTTAACATTGAGTCAATGGAAGGGTGATTCCCAACGGTTCGGTAACCCCATCGTGAATTTCAACAATTCAATTATTATAACGGCCGTGATATTTCGCAGTGATAAACATTAACCTTATTGTTTAAGGTAGAATAATTCATTGTTAAATTTGTTGATGAAAATACAACTTACGTGTATTTGAAACTTTAAAAACTTTGTTAATTAAGGACTTTCGATATAATATAAATACCACACTCATCAGAGTGTGACAGTGCCTAGGGTCACGCCTCGAATACCACTGTCACCTAAGGCGAACGGTAATACACTCGGGGTGACCCTAGGCAATGTCACACTCTAATGAGTGTAGTATTTATATAATATTGAACAATACAACAAGCGCGAGTCGTTAACATCAGGCCCCAGTCGATCAAACGTTAGTTGATTTTAACCAGCAGTTAGTGAACAATTCAAATTGTTGTCATTAAGAAGCAAAGTCTTCCAAAGCAAAATAAACCCTCAAAACCTATCATTCTAATGTGTTTCAGTAAATATATAGTAATAAAATGAAATAGGATGCTCTTGATAATTTCCCTAACCAACCTTTGAGCAACCGGGACCACATAGCCGGTTCCTGCCTTTTTCTTACTGAATCGAAATTTTACAACCGTATGCGTTTTTATTGAAAGTGAAGAAGCTCATAACAACATTTTTATTATATTTATTATAATTACCTTAGTGATTTAAGATTACACACATATTTCGTGCCCTCTTGGAAGTTGACGTCTGTAATAAATGCCTGTTCTACCTATTAGGAGATAAACGTGCATCACAGATAGTAATGATAATGTATTCGCAAGATGTAAGAGTTATATTTAAACAAAAGAAACAAAACTGAGACAATGCAAATATTTCAACGATAGTTAAACTAATGACTTCAAAGTCCATCTGGTTCTGTTTTAAACAATCAACATGTAATGTAGCTTCCCTAATGATATTACCTCTGTACAAAGTTCCTGCTCCGTCGACTTGAACACGGTAGAAGTGGGATCCTCCATGCCTTTTTGAAACTGGTCAGATAATTTTAATTCCAAGTCTATTGTTCCTGTATTCATCAACCAAAATTATGAACATGAACTTTATAATTAAGTACAAAGCAACTTATTGCATGTTAAAATCAAAGTTTCTGTTCTAGTTTTCAAATACAATGATAAAATTCATAAAACGCTGTTAAATTAAGAGAAAAGTTTGCAGTTTGAACATCAGCAAAATGGACGATATATAATGTATATAATTACGGGTTTAAAAATTATTTTTGTAATATTTCTTCTGCAAAAATGATAACAGAATAATAATTTCTGTTTATGATTTCAACTTCGAATATGAGTACCTATCTTTAGGTATAGAAACTTACCTTCGATGATCGGGGATCCTAAAAAACAATTAAAGTTAACACTTAAATACTTTATTAAGCTTATCAGTAGAGAACCATCGGTGAGCTAGCAGTATTGTAATACAAAGATCTCCTCCAAGATATATTCGTACAATCACGGCACCAAAGATCAAACAGATCCAAAGTACCAAAATAAAACCAAAGTAGTAGATGCAGTGTTTATCATCATGAAATAGGGTGACTCCATCACTTAAATATAATAATATTATCAATGTTCAGCATTTGTATTCATAACTTCTTTTTTTCATCGTGCTATAGATTATCTCCCTTTAAATATGCATTAACAACTGTATATCTATCTGCTACACAACTGTCGTTCATGGATGACAGAGATAGGGACAAGAGTGTGAAATTCCCAAAACAGACAGGGGTAACTGTCATCATCATATGCTACACCTAATATTGTTGGTTTGGTAATGAAATATTAAATTAGCCGTTAGATTAAATTGCTGCGCGTGTCTCATCACTTATATACAAGTACAATGGGTGGTACGTGCTTAAGAATAGTTAATATTGTACAAGTTGTTAAAGGTACCAGGGGACATTTTATAAGGTGTTAAGAGTCGGTATTCGAGGGTCGGGAAAGTGAGCTCCTGGAGAGAGACGCCAGGGAAGGCCGTGGCCGGAGGAGCCAGGTATGACCCGGGTAGAGCACGTGCTATGCTTTAGCAAGCAATATGTGTTTGATGTTGTAACTCTGCATAATCTGTGCACATGTATATTTTCTGTCGTGTTCCAGATACTCTACTCTAAGTCCACTCAGTCCACAGTCGAATTCCAGAGATTGTCTTTATGCCTATCGTAAGTTTGTTTACACCAGAAACCTATTGATGTGTCCTAATGTTTACCACTCAATTGTCTTTGATAATGGATCAATATAAGAATATCGTAATTATATTTATTGGGACACATCTATATTGTGAGGATTATTACTATATCAACACATTGATCATCCGAGCATTTGCAGGTAAAATTACATACCCTAGCTACTACTTTACATATTGTTTACTTTTTGATGAACCACATTTTTTCAAACTTAAAAACATTGAATATCTTTTATGTACCATTGAAAATATATTACTTCTTTGCAATGATATTGAACTAAATCCAGGACCCCAATGCAACATAGAAATCTCACATCATAATGTTAGATCACTCAGAACCAAACTTGATATCATTGAAGCAGAATTACATGAAAGTGATATATTATGTCTTACTGAAACACACCTTTCTCCTAATATAACTGATGCTGAAATAACACTTAACTCCCATTCCCATAACATTCACAGGCTTGATAGAAAAACTGGACCTGGGGGAGGAGTAATTATTTATCACAAAGACACAGTACATACTGAAAGAAGAATTGATCTTGAGCATGAAGATATAGAAATGATATGGATTGAAGTATTATTCAATAAGCAAAAAATATTATTAGGATGTATTTATAGACCTGAATCAAATGTTGAATATTGGGATAAATTAGACCATGTTCTAGATAATGCATGTAACATATCACTTAACATAATAATACCTGTTGATATAAATGTAAATATGTTGAATATACCTACTAACCACCATTTAAATAGACTAATGGTAAAATATAACTTTACAAATCTAATTAATAAACCTACCAGGATAACACAAACTACTGCCACTGCTATTGATATTTTATTCACTAATAATGTTAATCTTATAAAACATAATACAGTGAATACACCAATATGCAGTGACCACTCTGTTATTAATTTTACCTGTTCATATTCTGTATTTAAGCTAAAATCCTACCATAAAACTATACTAAACTATGACAATGCAGATTTTGATGACATGAATAGAGCTCTAAATGAAATAAATTGAGAAATACTGATAAATACACTTGACTCGAATGAGTTTAATATTTTTTTAACAAATTCTATTAATATTTAAATAGAAGAATGTATACCATCCAAAATTATAACTGTTCGCCCTAATGATAAACCTTGGATGAGGAATATTATAGGGCAAAAAATTAGACAGAGAAATAGATTTTATAAAAAAAGCTGTAAATAACAATACAGTAAATTATCAGAAAGGCTAGAAAGGAAGTAGTAANAAAATAATAACTTAATACATCATCCATTTGAAAAAGCAGAATTTCTAAATAACTACTTCAGCTCAATATCAACTTCTTCTGAAAACTTGAACCCCTTACCCCCCATGAAAATACTTTTCCCTTCCTTCTAGACAATATCATGATATCTGAAGAGGACATTAAAGATCAACTGTGTTTACTTAATGATAAAAAACCTCCTGGCCTAGATGGTATGATACCCAAGATAATACAGAAATTAGCACCTTCTCTAATATGTCCTCTAACTTTACTTTGTAATAAGACTATTGAATCTGGTATTATACATCTTTCTTGGAAAACAACTAATATTAATGCAATATACAAAGGTAAGGGTGCTCAGAATGATGTCTCTAACTATAGGCCAATATCTATTACATCATGTTTTAGCAAAATTGTTGAAAAAGTTATTTTAAATATATGTTTAATATTATGAAAGAATGTGATATCATAACGAAACACCAATCAGGCTTCTTACCAAGAGACTCGACTGTAAACCAGTTATTATCTATATATGACACTATTGTAAATAACTTGGATCAAAATAATGAAATCAGATTTGTATTTTGTGATGTAAGTAAGGCGTTTGATAGAGTTTCGCATGAGGGTTTACTTTTTAAATTGGAATCGTATGGCATAAAAGGGAAAATATTACAATGGTTTAGTAATTATATTTCTGATAGAAAGCAGAGAGTATCAACAGAGGGGTTTTATTCAACTTTTAAGCATGTCAAAGCCGGTGTACCCCAAGGCTCGGTCCTTGGTCCATTTCTTTTCTTAACCTATATTAATGATATAACAGAATGTGTAACAAGTAAAATAAAAAATAAATTGCAGATGATACTTCTCTCTATGAAGTAATAGACAACAATCAAAATGAAATTGCAGTGAAATTAAATAATGATCTAGGTAATATTAATGCATGGGCAAAAAAATGGGATATCAAATTTAATTCACTAAAAACTGAATCTGTAATCTTCTCAAGGTAAAGGGAACTAAATCATCCAGATATCTTATTTGGTAATGAAACTGTAACTAACAAACAAACTCATAAGCATTTTGGTTTAACTGTTAGTAGTGATGGAAAATGGACATATCATATTGACAATATTTATGAGCTAGCTTATAAAAGAATGAATATATTGAGAATGTTAAAACACAAATTGGATAGAAAAAGTCTTATAACAATATATACCTCTTTTATTAGACCAATACTTGAATATGGGGATGTAGTATGGGATAACTGTAGTAACCAAAATAAAAAAAAAATCTTAAGTCAATCCAGCTAGAGGCATTAAGGATTATTACAGGATTGCGTAGAGGGACCTCTCATTGTAAGCTTTATGCAGAAACTGGACTTGAATCACTTTGTTGTAGACGAAAAAATCATAAATTAGCACTTATGTTCAAAATATTAAATAATGAATCGCCTAAGTACTTAAGACATCATTGAACCATACCTTCACAGCAATATAAATGTAAGATACACACTAAGAAATAGCCGTATTTTCAATCCTCCTTTCTGTAGAACTGAGAATTATTTCAATAGTTATTTTCCTTCAATGTGTAGATAATTTAACCTTCTATCTGCAGAAACTTTGAATGCTACTTCCCTTCAACAATTCAAAAAATTCATCAAGTCTGATAATATGAACAACACTGAAGAAATTGCTAGCACATTTAAATACTATGGGCCAATAAAATGCAATATCATAATTTGTCAGCTGAGAAATCATGCTAGCAACCTAAATAGTGACTTATATATGGATCATCTGAATGACACACCAGCATGTAGATGTGGACATGAAAATGAAAATGCATTTCATTTTATATTTGAATGCCCACTCTATAACAACTTAAGAATGCAATTAGTAAAAAAAAATATCTCAATTTGGTATAATTGGTAATCATGATCATTTTAATCTTAATTAAAATTAAAGGGATGCTTTATATGCAGCGCTGATATTAACATATCCATTTTACAAAGTATATCTGACTACATTTGTCAAACTAATAGGCTTGATATGTAATCTCACTCACAGCAAAACTTTACATTGAAAGTGATGCTATTGTTTATAGTGTCATGATCACTCTGCTAATAAGTATTGATACTGGTGTATATCTATCTTCACAACATCTCTGGTATTCGGCTGGACTGGATGGAATTTATGAGTGTACTATTCTATAATCTGTTCTAACTATTTCATAGTTACATGAATATTCTATAGTGCTTTGTTAAATAAATTTTAAGAGAATCAACTCCAATAATATATGATAATAACTATATTTTCCTATATCAATCCATATCATATTCTGAAATTTTACAAAATGTTTATTTCTTGGTAACTTATCCTATATATCCAGTGGGTGGATGGCCAATGTGTTTATACACAAGGACTTTTGGGCCTGTATCCCTTGGATTTTATGTAGGATGGGTTTTCAATAAATATACATGATTTATTTAATTATTAATATCTAAAATATAACCAGAAAATGATTAAACAAAAGTTGAAAATGTTCATTTCACAAGCTAAATTTGAGTTATCTCCCCTGCACTGTTTAATTGGATTGTTATGACAGAATATATGTAATGTTTGTAAATAAGTTTGGAAAGGACTTAAATAGGCCTAGCCCGATGTCCAATCAAATTGACATATATAAAGTCAATAAAATCTGATGAAATGAAAGTGTTCCAGATACTATGTTAAACAGGACATTGGTTTAAATATCAGAAAGATCTTGCGGAGAGAGCCTAGAGTATGGCCTCTGGCTGTCGCAAGAGAGCAGCCACAATGTGTTTCGTGTGTTATGCAACACATATTGGTTTGTCATCATATCTCATTACTGGTAGGGGACTCCAAATATAACTCTTTTTTTTTCATTGGGTGGTAGATCAGTAGTTCTGTCTGACGAGGAATATATTGATAAGCACTGGTACAATATGAGATTTTACATGTTATCACTTATATGATATGGAGATCTGTTGATAAGTCTATTTTTTCTGAACGATTTGTTGCAGTATATTGTACCATGCCCAGCATAGAAGACATTAAAATAAAAATAATCATGTATTTGATTCGGATGACAACGATAAATACCTTTCCTGAAGACGAAGATAATCAACAGTGGGATAGCTACAACCACCGCTACCATGAATACTGCCAGAGCTGAGTGTTTGATGTTTGTGTTTCCTCCTTTCTTGTCTCGTGGAGAAGGACGGGCAAAATCTTCTCGGCCATGGCGGCGCTTGGATCTATAATTGTGTTCGTCACGGCTCACATCATCTGATCGGCTGTTTGACTCCACATATTGCTGAAGAATAGCAACCAACAGTCAACTAGTAATTTTATAGGTTTGATTTGATTTTATATTAAAACATAGCTCATGCTAATTTGCTCAGATATAAATGCTATTGTTGTTTCCTTTAGATGTTTACCAGCAATGGAATTACACATTAATTAGTGTGCTAAAAAATACTTTCGTTATATAATTTGTATCTTATGCGTTCCGTATACCAACTTTTTGTCATTGGTTGAAAACTAGATTGCGCTAATACGAAACCTTATGGACACTCCACAGAAACCTAAACAATTTGTACAATTTTGTTGTTAAGTATTCACACAAACCCAACTTCAGGTTTGCGTCATATTTCAACCTTTCAGAAACTAAAGTGAGTTAGTCGTGATAAAGAAAGGGATTTAACTTTTAGAAAACATAATGTGCGGTTGTGTGTAGTTGTTTTGTTGGGTAGGGGTGTAAGTAGGTGTGCTATTGTGTAGCAGGGTAAAATGTCATGCTAAACAATCGAGTTGTGAAATTTGTTGAAAATCATGTGATGCATTCTGAACGTCTATTTATAAGTCTTGCAAGCAAAAAGAACATGCAAACATCTTATAGTTTAACAGTTGAATAGGGTGTATGCCGTAGTATTTCACCGTGTAACAAGTCCGGTGATGCCGTGATACATGTATGATAAGGACTTTATTTACATTGTTTTGTATATTAACTTACTACACTACCAATACGTTTAGGAACACATACTAAGTCGTAGTTATTATCTGTGGGTACCACATAACCATGAGATCTGTTCTATTTTTAACACATCAATCATTTGAAGAAACAACAATGCATTGATCATGTAGTTTGTCTGTATAAGTATTACTAAATAAGTAGTTAACGTACAAATATATAAACGTTGCACTCACATGCCCATAATTAAATAAATGTATATACCAGTATATGTTTAATTGTATAATGAATAAACATAGTCTTTGAAAACAAAAATAAAGAGACTTACATATGCTACAAATAAAGCTTATTTTCAAATTCTATTTTAAAAGTAATTTAACGATGATGTTATTGCGAAGAACACCTGTGTTCAGAATTCGAGTTTATTCCTTGGAGGTCTAAAATTCTATACATTCCAGATTCTACAATTTAAAACACTGGATTTCAGCGATGTTTCAGTTTCAGAAGCAACATTTTAATTTGGAAGCCAGAATTCTCGCTGCAAGATTCATGTAATATTGTCGTTGAACCATGACGTTACATATCCTGTACTCACCTCCGACCAGTTGGCCTTGAACCAGTGACGTTTTGAGTTGTATGCCATCGTGTTCCAGTGGGGATCCTCAACAGCATATTCATTAGATATGGCATAATTTCCGAACGCCATGCCACTCGATACACTTCTGTCCTCACCATTGTCACGGACGTACGGTATGGGTACATATAATTCATTGCTGTTCTTTCTATCAGTTGGTCTGATATAATCCACATTGGGATCTGAAAAAGTGCATAAAGTTAGATTCATTTAATTTATTTCACAAAGAATTCCATCGTAACATATATGCACTTTTACATTATACACAGGATACCAAATGAGTTAAATCAAATTAACGCGGCAGACAGGTGACTGAACTGTGGAGTTTAACCTACAAATATACATTCCCACAGTTATTAAGAATGGTCATTAAAAGAGTTGACCAAGAAAATGTTGAGTGATCAAATAGTCATGGACCTCGTGGTGTTTTTTTTTTACCTGCTGTCATATTCATATAGAATTACTTTCGGATCCAGGATGAAAATGAAACTAAAAACGCAGATATCAATTTTGTATATGGTCATTGAAATTGAAAACTGATTTTTATTATTCTGAAATCGGGTAAGTGTTAATAACCAACATTCTAATAGCCCAATGTGTCTTAGTCGGAAGTATGTATCCTATTTTAATAACCTTGATGTTTTAAGGGAATGAATCGTCGTTATTCCCCTCTTATTCAATCTATGGCACCACTGGGGCGTCATGATAGGGAGAAAAGGGCAAACTTAAATAGAGGGATTCAATAAAAGTATGATAAATATTGCATCATGAAAATTGGTTACACTGCAGAATCTCAATTTTATTTCAGTAAGAAAAAAATTACAATAACCTTAATTCTGACATCGAAATCCAGACAAACCAGGGTGACAGGGCAACTGGACAAGAACTCAAGTGAGGAAGTATTTAAGGAACCCCGAAAATGTCCTCGTTTTTCTTTAAAATGTTGTTGAAACCTCTGTTTGAGATAAACAGGTTTGCGACTGTGATCCACGATGGCATACAATGGATTTTTGTATTGACCCCAATGACGTGGGGCACAGCCAACAAGGTTTTAGTATTATAGTATATAACAGATACATGTAAGACCATATATGGCGTGCATCAATGAATATGATGTATTTGTGTGTTTTGTAATATGTATAGAATGAGGTAAGAAGGTGTGTTTGCCTCCTTAAGATGTTTCAGATCTGTTTTCGACTTAGTGCTGCTATCTCAATGAAAGTATGCAAAAAGCACCCTGCACATTGTTCCATCCTGTCTTAATTTACTGGTTAACAAGTTTGTTGCGATTTTCCTCATTTTATTGACTTTGGTATACCATAGTCTGTGGACAGGACCTTTGTCCCTCCCCATTTAGAGAACGATCAAAATTGCGGTGTTGCGAAAAGAAGCTAAAACCTTGTTATATAGGAGGTAGATATAAACACGGAGTCTCCAATGTTGCAATGAGTACAGCAGATTTACATTGGCCGCTTACTTGTCACCAGGTAGAAGGCACAATGCAAAATTCCGATCCTGCAGTGGGTTTCCACATTAGTTGCCTCTTACAACAGTGAGTAACGGAAGGTGTCTCATTTTCTCATTACACGATCTTCATCATTACACGATCTACATGGTGACATTAGTATTGTTTTATAGTGGTATTAAACGATCAACCGAGTGTTTACCTCATATACGTTTACTACCAAGATAAATACTAACAGAGATTCATCCTTAATCAATGTGCGAAACTCAAATATCAACATGTACCTGTCTAATTGACCACAAACCACCTCAGACAAAATACGATTGCTATCTGTACAAACTTTGAAAAATTAATAGCTTTAATTGTTTATCATGACAATGTCCATCGCGTAAAAGTGTTTCTTGTTCACAACCCTGGCTATGTAATTTACCATACACATGGTGCACTCATAAGGAGGTTGCTTATATAAAGCAACATTTGTTTTGTTAAAATATTGAGCATAGTCATAGGTAAGTGGTAGTTTTAGCCATTAATGTTGAAACTGGCTCAATGTGAATACAATATAAGGAAACGGCTGGGCACTACAATCTGGAGATTCAGTATTTGTTGTTTAACGCGATATTTAAAAGAATCGTGGTATGAATGGGCAAAACTGAGTTGCAGAGAGAAAATAATTTTAGAAAAAAAAGTGTATTCGATTCACCGAGACAAGTCTAAAATTTCGCGTATCACTTATAATACTCTATTGAAAATATGTTAAGGATTACAGATAGCATTTACCTCAGTTTATATATTTTTTATGAAAACAAACGAACATTTCTACAAGTAGGTTGGTTTTAATGTCATTGAAACTGTATAAATGTAAAAACATATGAAATGTAAATCGTAAGATACTTGCTTGTTTTAGAAGTAATATAAAATAAGATATCCAAAGTATGTTCTGGAGTTAATTTAACTTACGTAAAGTCGATATTTGATACATTGAATATGTTTTACATGTATGTAATCAGAATATGACGTCAAAACTCTGTATTATATATCATCTATTTATATACATGTAAATATATAAACGAACGTAGTGTCGCATTGTATGGGCGGTATACGTGAATAGTCTCGTCATATTAGGAGTCTATTACGTTACGACAGACATTTTTGTATATATAAACTTTATTTATTTTACAACAATTATGAAACAAGTTATTTCAACTTATATTAATCACTCTTGTTGGCCCGGTTGGGGGTCATATTGTGGGAGGAAACCGGAGTACCCGGAGAAAACCAACGTGGTCGGGCAGGTGACCCCAACCTTTTCACGTCCGATCAGGAAATCGAACCCCGGCCGCCTTGGTGAAAGGCAAATGCGCTATCCAATGCACCACCCGACCACCCATTTTTGTAATGCGAGATTGTATTACCTATTGCAGAAAACTGGTATCTTATGCACTATTCATTGTAACAGTTTCATAGAGACGCCTCTGATTGCGCACGATGTATTCATTATAAGCTCATTAATTTTAGAAAATAAAGAGACTTCCTACTTTATTTCTGCTTAAGGATCCCTGTCCCACTGTACTGTGGTTCTTCGTATATAGAATAAAGAGTAACTTCCCTTTAATTTCGGTTGGATAAAGTGCAGCTCAGTTAGGCCAGGACACTTTCGTTGACCGGGTAGCTCAATTGCTTAGAACAGTAGTATAACAATCGGAAATGCAGTGTTCGAATCCCGGTCTAACCTTGCTGATGTTTTCTACTCGAAAACTGTGTTGTTGATTATATTCATTTTTGTCATATTTATTATTTCTCTTGATATGATTGTCTTATCAGATAAGATTTATCCAAATTATAGCCATGCGGGCAAAACAGTTTTAACACTTAGTAACAATTTCCAGCAGTGGTATTCTGTCTGTTGTTAAAGTGTTACAAGTATATATCTCTTTGTTAAAACAATTTCAGTCCTCCTTGCCGAATAACTTTTTTGACCAAATTCTGTAAAAATCACTCCTATCAAACTGAATGAAAAGGAGTTTAAAGATTAAACTAGATTTTTACCTATTAGGGCACCGACCCTCTGGCCCAAAGGGGGCGACACCCTGCGATTAAAGAGAATTCAGCCCCCTTTACCCAAGGGATGCTCTCAACTAAGTTAACATTTCTCGAGTGGTACAGGAGAAGAAGGATTTAAAAAAATCGACCTCAAATTCCCCTATTTGGCCCAGCCGCTTTTCACCCAGAGGGCGATACCCTCTGTTTAACCAAAATATAGTCCCTTTTGCCCAAGGATACTCCAGGCCGAATTGTGATAAATCCCTCCAATAGCACATTTTTTTTTAAAGATTTAAACCTCGATTTCCCCTATTGGGCCCCGTCCCACTGTACCCAGACAGGTCACACCCTCCGTTTATACAAAAACGTGTTTAAGGGTCATGCTAATAGGTAATAGTTAAAATCTCGTAATCTGATTGGTTAAGAAAGATGTGAACATTTTCAATGTTACTTGCTCGTTTTACAAAGATAAAAAGACAGGGTGTTATTCCAAAAAATATCAAACGCGCCAAACGTATGCGTGCACGGTTCGTCCAAGTGCCAGGGTGTTATTCCAAAAATTGTTACATGCGCCAAACGTATGCGTGCACGGTTCGTTTTCATTTCAAATATATTTTATTGATTAAACAAAAGGATTGAGCAACTGGCTTTGCCTATATAAGCTCTCTCCATGGCTTCCAGCATACTTTTGATATTTGAAGACATTGAATACAATATTTACATNAAAAAAAAAAAAAAAATCCTTGGAGAAAAAAAATACAAACTTTGCGATATTAATATTTAATATAGTTGTAAAATTTGTGTCAAGAAGAATTAAATATACTGTTATAAATATACACAGTATTCAAATCGAATTAAATATATGGATATACGTCTTGAACTTGAGCAACTTAAATTTGCTATGGCAACATGAAATAAAGCAAAACTGATACATGCATGTATTCTGATAAAGAAATGTAACAGGACTTATTTGAAGTATACATGTCTTGAGATGAGTTGGAAAATCAAATAGAAAATTAACTAAAAGAAAACAGAAATATATATATATAAAAAAAAAAAAAAAAAAAAAAAAAAAAAAAAAAAAAATTGAAAACCCCAAAAGACATAAATAATTATATAAGGACACAAATTAATCTCAATCACTCACTCATACACTCTAGCACCTAATTTGTATCTACAGGCATGGGTTTGTTGGTTTATTTAATGTAGTTTGTACATATTTGTTTTAGATGAATGTGCACGGTTCGTCCCAGTGCCAGGGTGTTATCAAATCACATTCATGGTTGGTTCATTCGACAACTGTTGAGATGAAGTCTTGGTTTATGTCAAATCAACACAAGGACCTTTAAAAATGGTGAAGTGGTGAAACACCTAAACATGACACTCGGTATAATAAAATAAAAATCACATTCATGAGAGGGCGAGTTTGCATATTTTCACCCCTCGGAAAGCATTGGAAATCTTGGGAGATTGGCCTAGAAAGATCGCCAGGAGGAGTGTTTTATTCTAAGGTCCACCATACGTTTCTGTGCCGATGGACTTCCATTTACCGCGAAGGAATATCTTACTCAAGCTAGTAATATACCTTGATGTATAAAGCATAACATATTGCATCAATATCCCACAATCTTTTCAATCCAGATTTAGAATTTATCGAATATAATACTTTTGTGT